TAATAAAATATCTTTCACTAAAATTAGAACTAAATGCATATTCATCAGGAGATATACACCACAACATTGGCCTGTAATTAGTTATGTCAGTGTTGCATGCCATTATAATAGTACCTGCAAATAAAATACCAAATAAAATAATAGTTGCTAATTCTCAGAGTATGATAATTTTGTACGTTTAAGAATAAAAACACAAATATAAATATTATTCAATTATTAATTAATAATTACTAGCTGATTCCGCATGGTATTGTCTACAACAAGTTAAGAAGTGCCTATGAACGTATTTTACTAAAAGTAAACTGCATAGATTGTTAACATAGTTATTTAGGTTGGTTTGGCTAAATATAAATATAGATCTAAAAATGATATCTAATTTATTTTTTATAACCAAAATTGATAATATATAAATATAAAAAGTGATAGTTTTTCAGAGTCAATTGTATTCAAAATTTATGTGTTGAAAAATAAAAAGTAAGTAATAAGAAGAAGCTTATGACAGACATCACAAATCTTGCTGTATTTATAGATGAAAATTTAATAAAAATCAATCAAAAAATATAGATTTGTATAAGGGCCATCAGTGTTAGATGTTCTGTCTGATTTTAAACAGTAAATATATTTATTATTCATAGTTAATTCTGCATGTGTTGCACATGACAAATTAAATAATATTAATGGATTAATCTTATTTTGTCTCAAATTCATACAGAAATATCAATCCTTATATATTATCAATAAAAAATTAATAATAAAAAATGTTTAACTTTTAGATTTTTAAGTATAAAGTAAAATTATACCTCTGTTGTACAATACGTGCTGAACACTGCTCGGTTTAGATTCTCCAATAACTCTATTATATCCCGGTGGCAAACGTATGTGTACAAGTTGCAATGTGTAAGGTCTAGTATTGTTAGAGGTTAATGCTCCAGTAGAAAAATATAATCTAAATCCAGACTTGGACACAACCAACAGATGAATGCTAGGTGATTCAGTTTCTTCTATGATTTTTATACTACTCAATATAGTCATTTGAGCTATTTCAATAGTTCTGAAATAAACAATTAGTAAATTTTATTGTTATTTATCAATTTGAATTACTTTGTATTTATTTTTAATGTCTGATACCACTCTGCTAAAATATATTGTCTCGAAACCAGCCAACTGACTATACATTAAAATTCAATTTTTGTTATCAATTTTGAATATTTCTATGTATTTCAATATTTCATGTGTATTATAGTTTAGTGTGTGATATTATATTTAGAAAAAAAGTAAACACTACTGATACTTTATACACAATTTTATTATATTATTATCATGCTGTTCTATCAGTCTGACATATCATTGAATGAATAGCTTCAAGAATATATCTATCATAAATATGCTATTAAATTATTTAAAAATATTTTTACAGAATATAAAAAAATGTTTGATCTTATTTCCTATAGAAGGCCACAGACAATATATTTTATACAACTCGATAATAGGTTAACAATTAATAAGAAATCTTTTTTTTTTTTTTTTATATAATTACCTGAGTAATTTTGAAACTTGATGCTCAAGATTAGAGTGTGACAAAGAAACAATTCGACTTGTAGATTTACCATCAGATCCAAGATCATATAATTCAATTGAATTATTTTCAGCCAGAGTATAAAGAATATGCCGTGTATTATCAACAGCTATTTCAATGATGGCAGAAGGTTCAGTGACTGCATATTGTAAAAACGATGGTAGTAAGTATGATAAAGTATTAGCTGAATGGCAAATTTTCTTGCAACGTCTTCCATTACTAATTGAAAACCAACCTAAATCTTTCTATACGTTTTGAAAAAATATTGTTGGTTAATATTTTTAAATCTTGTAAGAATAGATAGATATTTAATATTTAAAAAAATACTGTTAAAACAATAAATACCCAATAATCAATTTCAAACAGGTTACCATCTTCACTTGCAAGAAAAATACGCCCTTTGTCAGTTCCAACAATTTTAGATATTATTACACCTTCAGTAGGAACTTCATAAATGGTATCTGTAGTAAGTTCCAATTGTTCTATAGTTTTACCTGATATTACCAACAAATTTAAAAATAAAACAGTTAAATATAGAACTAATTTAACAGTTTTAAAGCATAACATGTTTTAGGATATAATTACCATCAATGCTAGTAACTTTTTTAAATGTTACGCCTAGTATTGCAATATTTAATCCAGTAGCTAAGACTAACAAATATTTAATGTGAGCTTGAAAAACATTTGGTTTAGGCTGTACCAGAGCTACAGCAAAAATAGTAGAGTTCATTCCATCAAAGTAAGATAAATCCTTTCTAAAATACAACATTAATCAATCAATTAATTTATTTTATTTATGTATACAAAATAGGTAAAAAAGTATATATAACATAATATATATATATTACAACATAACAAAATTAAACGAGTAAATACTAAACATATTTATATATCAAAGAAAGGTCTTGATTTGATAGTTTCAATTAACAATTAATCAGCTCATTAGACATATAATTATTGATTGAACATTAAATATAAAAAGGAGTTTTATTGCGAGTATAGTGTGAAGGTATTTTAAAATAAACTAGTGAGAGAAGAAATGGAGCATCAATAACTAAAGTTATAAAATACATATTTTAAGAGTATCTATAGTTAGCTAATGTGGATGAGTTTAAATAAGGGAATAGTAGTATGATGATCATGGAATATTTACATTAATTAGTATAACTGGGGAAATTTCTTTGACTGCCTTTAAACTGATATTACAAAACAGTACAATGGAGACTTCAAACCGCAGAACCATACTTGAGTCACAAGAACACAGTAAAAGGATTTAAGTGAGTTAGTAAATTTAAATTAACTTTAAATTATTCTAATGAACTCCAATACTTTATAGGTTTTACACGTAATGTTATAAATGTGTGAGTATGTAAGCCTAAGTCAGGTTTAATGTCTATTAATAAGACTCCGATTCCATTAATTAGATATATGGCAGTTTTCTAACCGAATTCTGGTGAAGGACATCAAACAAACAACATTTATCAATATTGAGTGCCAAGTCAAGTGATTCATTCCGTGTGACAAACCTATCAAGATTGTTATGGAGAAGTGTATAATTTTCCAAGGGTTTAATGTTCATGTACAATTTTATGTCGTCTGTATTTCAATGGTGAAAAATTCTTAAGGTACACCCAAAGTAGCAATATAGGGTTCTAACCTCACACCAAAATAATTGATTAGATTATAATTAATAATATATTACCCTTCGCTATAGTCCCATAAAAAGAATTCCTGATCAATTGTGACCCAAACTCGGTTGATTTCAGGAAATATTCCCAATTTGCGATGAAAGTTTTGAGAATCTATATTAACAAAATATTAATTAAATTCAATAATTTAAAGTTTTAACAATATCTGTAACAATTATTGTATGATATGATGAATCATAATTTTAACATAAAACACAGTAAGTTCACAGTTCCAAAAATATAAGGAAAATAGACAATATAAAATTTAAAATAATACCATTCCATTGATCTAATAATGCACCAGGTAGTGGTATTTTGTGTCTTGATTTGAGAGGAGTAATTGAAGGCATCCCTAGTCCTTCTTTAGGATAATCATATTCTGTACAACCACTAACACTTTGACCTAGAGGATAATATATAATAAAAACCATGTTAATATATTTTGATGGATTAAAAAAAAAAAAAAAAACATAAACATAAATAATCTAGCACTAACTGCTTTTAGTTAGCTGCATTTTATCGACAAGTGTTGGAAACGAATCATCTGCTGCAAAAAATCTATCCAACATTTTGCCAGATAAATCTAAGCTATCTTTAGCAGATATCGATTGATTAATCATTGAAATGGTATCCACAGATCTTGAAACATTCATGGTAGAATCCATCTTTAATCTAAGTTAACAGGTACCCATCATTATTTATTAAATAACCAATTAGAAATATTCATATACCAGTTACTGGGTTGCATGAAAATATAACCAATTTAAAAGTTTACTAAATCTTAAATAGACCAATAATGGCCACTTAATTCTGTCTAAAAGACTATTAGTTCACTATTGATTCATAAAATGTTTAGATTGTGTATGCAACCCAGCGTTTAAATTTTTATGTTGAAATCACTTACTAAAGTTAATTATAATTACTTGTTTAAATATCTGGGGAGATAGTTACTTAATTAAGATCACTAAACATGTTTGAGTTAAATTGTTTATCAATATTAAAATAAATAAATAAAAAGTACCAAAAAAAAAAAAAAATGTATTTATAATACAGCAGTACCTCTGTTCTTACAATACATTAATTTATTATTTGTCACAATAATTATTAATTATTATTCTTCCTGTAATATTTTAAGCAATAATATAGAAACAAATTAAGATTAGCGGGAAAACTAGATAAGCCCAGCAATACCGCCTAACCTAACTACAGCATAAGCACAAAATAGATATAATATAAGACATAACACTTTCCGACCGTTAAAAGCTAACCTCAAAACACATACATAATACATATATATGTATAAATTATATAATGTATATTATATTTTAATCATAATATGTCATATACTCTTATGATTGTTCTACATATTGTATATAGAAAATAGATTAAAATTGAAAATTATATTTAAAATAAATCTTGGCGCTTTTATTAGAGCACGAGTCGGAGTTACTTTTGGTAACAGTTACTCAAGCCTTGTGGTAAACGGATCTATAATTTACTGATTGATGTAAGTAACAGATTTCACCGAGATAACACACGAAATTATTATCAAGCACATTGATAATATTTTAAATATTATTATCACAGAATATTAAAATTTATTATGATAATATGATATTTATTATTTACAAAATACAAATCCATGCGGCAATGTTAAACGCTATTATGTTATAAAATGTATAAATGAAACTTAAATTTTCGATTTTTTTCATTATTATTAAGTGATTAGAGTTTAATCTCTTATTTTTTATGTTTCATTATTAAAATTCATCATCAATATTCGATCTTACCAAAATTAAAAAATATGACCACACATTTCTGATGTACAACCTGTAATGTGTATTGCTAAAGTGTTTAACAAACTACGCTTTTAATTTATTTTCAAGATCCTTTATAATAAAATATATTACTGTGGTTTGTGTTGAGAAAAAAAAAATTATGGAATTAAAAAATCGGTAAAATAAAATACAATATTTATACTTAGCCAATTTGTTTAAATGTTTATTTTACTTTTGATTTCCTATAGATTGGGCTCCTGCGAAGTGTGTAACGGTGATGTTGCTAAATATTGCTGCCCAAGATGTGAAGTGAAAACTTGTAGTTTATCATGTGTAAATATTCATAAGAAAGAATTAGATTGTGATGGCAAAAAATACAAAACAGGGTTTAAAAAATTAGAAAACTTTACTGACACAGAAATGAGTCAAGGTACTAAAGTTTTATTTATTTTTTTAAGAAATGTTATTAATCAGTTATTTATAAATAGATTATAGACTTATGAATGAGTTTATTGAAGCTGTTGGAGAGTTTAAAATGAAAACCCAACGCATATCCAATTTATCTCCAGTGAGTATAATTTGCAATTCAATAATTCTAGGAATTATTTTAATTAGATTTAAATTTAAATAAACCAATGTAAACATTGATTATAAGTATTTATAAATTAAAAAATATCAAGATATTTTTATTTTTAACAAGAAATATACAATCTGTACCCTTGGGCGCAATAAGAATATGTGATATAATATATAATTTGTACATGAAAATCTGAGGAAAGAAGCCATCCAGTGAAAGCACTGCCTATTTGTTTATTAATATTTTTTTTTTTTTTTATATATATATTATTTAATTATTCATTGAGTAAATCTTGACACCGATTTCTTTTCAGTTGTCGTAAAGGATTGCCTGGAATTGTGTGAGAAGCTAAATTAGATATAAGGGGATTAGGATTATTATCAAGATATAAAATTTAAAAACATTTGTTTTTTAATTTTAGATTCTGAATAAAGTGGTTTAATTTTTTTTTAAGACATATTACTGAAAAAAAAATGCTTTGATTATCAAATTTTAGGGTTATTTTTTGGAAGTATATTGGATGTAGTTTATATTTTAGGTGGAAAGGGGTAATGTAAAAAATTCCTAGAATACTTAATTAATAATTGGAAAGTATAAAAAATACAAATATTCATTTTGTTGCATTTTCATATTATTAAAATAATTGTTTAGTACCTATGGTTACTAAAAAATTGAGCTGTTTCCATCAAAAGTTGTTTTTTTGCATATTATGATAATCATATCATTGAATTTAAAATTTAAGACATTCATTTACAGTAATCTAATTGGTGATGAATGAGATGACATATACTTGACACCTATACATCAAAACAGTTGCATATTGCATATTTTTATTAATAACAATTATAAAAATTAATTAAATTATCAATTTCTAAATAAGGTTTTATCAATATTAAACATTTAAATCTATTGAATTTAAAGGGGTAATAGTTGTTAAACAATATTGTATTCATATAATATAGTTTTCATTAAACTTGCTTTAAAAAAAGACATTTTTTTGTAAAAAAATTAATTTTTTATTACCAGATAGATTACCATTTCTTTTAATACAATATTTTTCATTATTATTGATAATTTTTTAAAATTTAAGTTATGTATAATTTTTAGGTATTTCGAAGATTGCGTTATCAAGCATATCAACGAAACATACGTTTACAGATCTTACCTAAGTCTACTTTGAACAAGAATAATACCTCTTTTTTTAATCCTAAAATTAATAAGATCTTTTGGCGTATAGATTGGACATTTCATGGCACAGATGTGAAGTATACAAACCACAAGTACTGAAATTAATAATTATGCTTACATATTTATTTAATACATAATCAATATAAATTATTTAGAGTCCCGGAATATCAAAAAATAAATAATATAGTTAGAAACTATTTCACAACAGAGTTTCATGATGATGAAGTAAAAGAAAAAATGAAGTTTTATATTTCAGCTGGAATCAAGGGTGTTATATTTCTAATGAAAACACCATATGGAAAGTTAGTATAAATGCTTATTTTTAACTAATAATAATATTAAATTTCTTTTTTGGTTGAACTGATGATTCTAGAATTTTAAGATTATTACTAGTTTACAAATAATATGTATCTAATACACATAATTAAAAATATTTTTTCAGATATTATCAACTTGATTCAGAGGACTCAATATTATATAGCTTAAGATATAAGACAATACTGGAATACCCAGAAATATTAGTTGTTTTATCTATTCATAAAGATACATTTAGTGATCTTCTTTATGTCGAAAATTCAACGTTTAATAACAATAAATCAACAATTATGTAATATTTAATAAATTGTTAATAATTTCTAGTATACTAAAAGATTAATGTTTTTTGTAATTTGTTGTCATTTCTTTTGAAATATTTTTATTTTTATAAATTAAAATGTAATAATAAGTTATACAAATTACCTTGGCACTCCAATATTTGAAATTTTTATTATTTTTTTTTACTACAATTTGTATCAATTTTTCCCTGAATATTTCTTCTAAAAAAAATTAATGTTTCCACTTGAATAGCTAAAGTAATGTTATCCCAGCACCACCATAACTAAATATTGCATGTTATAAACATTTTTATTTTTCATTAATTTGTTCTGATCAGTACCATTAAGTTTGGATTTGTACTTGATAGGTATATTTTATGACTATAGGGAATAGATATATATTCACAAAAAAGCCTCAAAATATGTTCCTAAAAAATGCTGTAATATACTACAAAATATGCTCTTAAAATTCAATCAAAAATATTTTATTAAAAATTAAGTATATGTATATGTAATTTGATTCTTTGAGTTTTAAATTGTTCTTGTGTTTATCACGTAATAAATGTTCTTCCAAAAACTTTGTAGTCACTTTAACTGAAATTTCACAAAACTGCAAATTACAATATAAAATTGAACTATCAGTTTTAAAAATATCTTTATGCTTATTTGCATTTTTCTGTAAAGGACCCTAATTCAGCAGGGCACCCATATGGGGGGGGGGCAAGGTAGAACATGTTCCTTCCCCTAGAAAATGTTGAAAATGCCGAAAAATTGTTTACACAAGATCTACAATGAGTGAAGGTAGACTTGATGGATTATGCATGATAAGAATACATAGAGAAAAATTGATGATAAAACGTATGAATACATAGAACAAGTAATAAATATATTTGGTGTTAAAAAAAGAAATTTACAATTTTTATTTGTAAATTAATATTTTAATAAATTTATGTTATAATCAAATAAAAATTCAATAAATTACTTTTATGGTTAATTGATTAAATATTTATTATTTCATAATCTTCCAGTTTGATATATAAAACATAGTAGTATAATGTTAAATTGTAAACCTCTTCCTATCTTATGGACATAATTAAAATGTTGTCTCCTCCTTAAGAATTTTCTATGGGTGCCCTTGCCTAATTGGTATTTTTGGCATTTTTAAGTTAAAAAAAAAAAATTCTGGCACAATTTTATACGAAATCTTACACTGAACAAACACACAACACTGATAGATTGGTTTCCGTTGAACACTTGTACTAGATTCATGTACCTAGTCTATGAATATAATTTATATAAGTATATATGTAGGTATTGAATATGGGTATCTCATTCTCATACTGATTCGGAGTGAGGTCTTGATGACTTAAAAGAAAATGTACTACCTTATTAAAACCAAAAAAATAATTTCTAGCTACTGTTATATATTATAAATAAAAATAAAAATACCTACTCTACACATTTAAAAACATAAATAACATTATTGATTTAAATTTGAATTTTAAAGTTTTCTACTTGCAAACAAAATTGTATTACCATACAATAATCAAATATAAATAAGTAGTTAAAGGTTTTAAATAATACAAAAAAGGGCATATATTTGTCGTGTCTATAAAATGCCAATATAATTAGTATTTGGAGAAAATTTCAAGTTTATGGTTATTCGTTTAAAAGATATATTAATAATTTACTAATAAGTAATAATAAGTTATTAGCCATTGATATTTGTGATATAAGTATTAGTTACTGAACATTAATACTATAAATAAGCGATAAATAAAAATGTTAAAGGTAATATTATATAATGAATAAAATTAATTAAATTTTAATGTGAGAATATCATGCTTCTGATAATTACTGTACGTGAAACCAAAAATTATTCAAAGAAAAATAACTACAAAAAAAACAAAAATTTAAAAATCATTGGTAGGCGAGTAGTCGTTTTTTTTTACGGAAACTAAGCACGTTCAATGGTAAAGTTTTGACATGTGCCCTGTTTAATCAATTCAACTCGAGTACTTATTTAAACGCATTTAAATGCTAGCGAAGTAAAGCCGGTTAAGTCATCCTGTTTAATATCTTTGTCATAAACTCATAACAGACTTTACATTTTAAATTAAAAGGTTTAACAATGGGTAAGTAATAAAGTAGCTGACTAGGTGGTAGGTACCTACGTATAAAGGTAACTAAACGCCATATAGGTAAGTACTCACCTAAAATTTAGTTTCAAAGATTATCTGGATATACATTTTATATCAGCTATGGTTTAGGTGTAGGTACTTATAATAAGGCAATATAAAGATATTTATAATTTAATTTATAAATAATGCTATTACATTGCCTAGGTCAGGTTGTAGCCTGTGTGGCTGTATCGTGAATTAAAGTACAGAAGTCGATATTGCCGCTTATTGGCTATTGAACTTATTTTACGACCAAGCTATTTGAATCTATTAACCAATTGGAATCAATAAGGTATAAATTTCTCAAAAAAATGTAATTTAATAAATATATATCTATAATAAATATTTGACTAGTCAAATAGGTATTTATGTTATAATATATATATTGTATATATTTGCTTATTGTAATACCTAATTGATTTTTGATAAAAAAGTTTTCCAGGGTTCGTTGAATTTTCCCTTCTTTGGTCATTTGCTCAATCATTATCTGATTTAGCTGAATTCCTCTGCGCGAAATCTAAAGTGCATCTAGTATCTGTCTTGTTAATAATAATTTCTCATCAGGTTTGTTTTCGTCTCTGCAGTCAATAGCAATACTTTTTTCGACGCATAGATTTATTTTCAACACAAATGTCTTCTTAGGTTGTGTATTGCTACTTAAATGTTTAAGCTTTTTTTTCCATGCTCATCCATTCATAATCATAAACTACGGCTGATCGATAGGTCTTGCAACAAGAGTTTCAACTTCTTTTTGACTGACGATTTTGCAACGATTTTGCAAACGATATTCTACTCTTTGCTGACTAAATGAAAATCTTCAAGTATGAATTTATAATAATTTTTTTGGTAATTTCATGAGTATTTAAGACATCTACTAAATTTTTGGTACAGACTATAGACCAGCATCAATCGTACTGTCGTATTGATCACATTTCAACTTGTATCCGTTCTGTAATATTTTTTAATAGTGCGTGATAGTCGTTGATCACGTGGTTGTATGATTATTGATTGATGTAATGTTCGTTGATAAAAATACGAGCTTTAATTATTTGAATTTTACTGTAATCAGTCATAGCAAATTTTGTTTTCCCATTTAGTCGGTCAATCAATCGTTGAAAATTTCTTTTATCATCCACTCATTATTGTTTGTAATATATTATTTAACTGGTAAATTCTTAACACCCTTGATGACCGTTTAATTTATTGTGAAAAGATAATACTTAGTTTATTTTTTGCGCGATAAAAATAAAAAATCGGTACCGCAACCTTAGCTCAAACAGTTTCTTCTATTTTAGTTATTAATCTAGTTATCAAATGACCCCATTAACCGGTGTAGTGAGTCTCATAGACAATTTTATTTTTTTTTTGCGCGTTAGTAATATATATTTATATCTATGTACAAATCAGGACCAATCTGTTTGAGTCCAATAAATGATTAAGTTTTTTAACCAATAGTCCAATAAGTGATGACTATTGTATTATTAATAATTAATAATTATAATATTTTAATTCGTGACCACAGATACGGATATTAGATAATAAATATTAGGTATAGGGTGCCAAAAATTAAAACTCGCATATAAAATAAAGTACAAGAGTCGTAGCGCCCGTCCCATACGTGTATTCAGAACAATTTCTCATCTTGCCAAAAATAATTTTTTGGGAAATCCTTTATATGAAATCAGCCATCCTTTTAACATGTCTAAAAAAATAGTTTATTGTCAATTTAAATTCGCTAGTCTAACCATTGTCACAGTAGCCTGAAAACATATAAACAGTACGGTTATGCCGAGCACCACTATATTATTATTATGCTGTATTGGTGTCGAAAATGATAAAAATTATATGCCAAGTACATATGATTTTAGGTTAGAATTTTACGTAAACTAATGTGTTGCGACATTATGTTATTCATTTTTTGTTTTAAACAAAATAGTATGAATAAAAAACAAAATTCATAAATAAATGAAACAAATTTATTTTAAAAAATTGAAAAAAAGAAAATTACAATGCCCCGATTGCTATCAGATTTACTATTTTTTTTTATTAAATACTCAATAAAATATAATATTTTTTTTTTATCTATATGTTCCTATATATTTTTCAATATTTTGTTCAATTTTCCATATTCATTATTTAACAAGTCTCCCCTCCGTAAATTCCTTACAAGTTATAAGTACTTATTTGAAGTTTAGATGAGTGAAATTAAGTGGCACAGGGGTACCTCTAATTCTAGTTCATCAGTCATTATTACTTACTTGACTTATCTAATTTTTAAATCCTTTTATAACTAATTTACTATATAATACCTTAAGATATTTAAAACTTGCTTTATGTATTGAAATTTACAGAAAAATATTTGACAAATGAAATAAGAATGCAGGTTGTTATTCAAAAAAGTAAAATAATTATAAAATGATTACGATAAAATATATATTTGATTTAAAAAAATTTTATATTGTAATCATGTTGAAAAAATATTTTCAAATATGTCAATACTTTTCAGAAAATTGAGTGCAAACTTTCAAAATAATTATTAATATATTGTATTACTTAGCAAATTAGTTACAAGTAGTTAAAATAAGGAATAGGTATTATATGGTAAACAGCAATGAATAATAATGATCATAAATTATTTGCAATAATCATTATTATATGAAAGTTTTAAATTGTATTATACGAATTTAATAGGTATATTTATTATATAGGTACATATAGTATTATAGTGTTATTAAAACTTATTTTTTATGTAAATAATATAAAATAGGATGTGGAATAATAACCATGAGCTGCTTAAAAATACTTGCAATTAAAATGATTCTCATTCAAACATGTGAAGTACGTGTTTTTGTATGATTAACCAATTAAATTTAAACAACTTAAAGCTTATAAAAGAATTCTCGGAAAATATCTGATTTCACTTACAAATACGCAGCATAAAAATACAAACACAACCACGTGCTTATTATATATTTACGGGTTTATTGTATAGCTTTCATTATAACGATCATTAAAAAAAAATTTTGCGCTGTATAAAATATAAACAAGACAAAATTATAAAAAAATTCTATAATATGTGTAATCATTAATTCTAAACCATTAAAATTAAAATTAAAAAAACCACAAATGCAACACACGAAGAAAATATAAATAGGTAATGCATTATATTTATATACTTCACAATTTAATCAATTGCTAAGCAATTAAAATGTATTTAAACATATTTAGATGACTTATATGCTTAAAATATTATATATACAAATCACAAAAGAACTATATTTTTAAAAATGTTTAATTAAAAATACAATAACTTTACATTATTGCTATAAATTTACTAGTTATTATTTATAATCTAACATAAATATATACCTATAAAAGAAATGAGAAATTTTGCGCATAGTATGTTTAATCGCTCAAAGTTTAATCTAGTACCTATAATGTTAAAAATAAATTAAAATGTACAAACTAATAAGGGCAATGAATAAAACTATCTTTTGTTTTTATTATCAAATGAGCCAATTGGATGGCTCATGTAGTTGATACCTATGTTTTTAGAATTTATTAAAACCGCGTTGAATAATGGTACAGATAATTATCTATTATATGTTATAGTGGTATAACGTTTAGATATTCAAAAAAAAATCCTATAAATGTTAATTATTTTTAAATATTTACAATGTAACGGAAATTTCACAAATTAGTTTTAATTTTAAATAAAAATTATTCAAAATTTAAATTTATAAATTAATTGAAAATCTAAGTAATCAAAAACATTTCAGTTTTATAACCTAAAATTTAATCATCTGACACATTTACTTATACATTTATATCTACTTTTTATAGCTTACTGCTCTTAAAGATAATTTGATGATTTTTATTTTTCAATTTTAAGTACACAGGTATTATATTAGTATATTACAAACGTGGTCACGTGTATACTATAGTACAATTTTGGCTATTCAGGAAATAATTAGAATCCGTTTTAACTGTTCCTTTAGTAATTGTATTTAGTTAGTGAGATATGAAAATTAATTGGTGAAAATCAATAATAAGTAATAAATCAACTAGTTTTTTCTTAGAAAAATAATTTTCCAATCTAAATACTAATTAATATTTTAATTATTTAATATAACCTTACAGAAGTATAGTAACGTAGGTATTTCTGTTTATATGCGTCTCGCTACCTATCTATGATGACGAAAATGATGCTATGTAATATGATTATGAGATTTAAAATTATATGTTCGTCCGTGGTCATTATAACAACAACCTTTATAAATAAACAAATATGCAATGAATGACAGAGTAGATTAATTAAACCTTTATCTAATTCTATTGCCAAATTAATGAACTTAATTAAGACATAATTAATATTAAAAATAATCATATTCTGTGGGGGCGTAATTTGCAGATGCATACGTTTGCATTCATATAAATGTATAATTTCATCTCATAAGTTATAGAATATTTATGGTTTTTCATATTTTACAGATTTGTTATTGAAATAAATTGACTTGTATAAAACACTAATAACATTATTAAGACTTTTTTAAGTTATAAAGAAATAATTTTTTTGAATTATAGTTATCATTTATATTCTATAGTTGATACATAGATTTGGGTATTGAACATTTAAATAATAGCAATAATTGAATTTCTTTCATTTTTACGTAACTGAAATTGTATAAATTATCTTTTTGCATTATGCATGTTGGTACTTACTCGTTTTCATTTTCATTTGTATTAAAAAAAAATATCAATTTAATTAATTATTAAAATTTCATGATATTTAATAAAAGTTTTTAAATCTAGGAATACCTAATATACAAATCGGAGAGTTGGATATTTGTAAATTAATTTGCATTTCACACAAAACTTTGAAATGACACCATGATGATTATATTTCAGCCTTCAGGTTATATTAAACGCGTCAGCCAACATAATATAAGCATCTTCTTATACGATTTGATATTATATTTCACTTCAATAACGTAAAATTTATGAGAATGTAATTGCGTTAATAAGAAGCGATTTATAGTTAGTGGTTAGACTATCTTTTAATAAATTAGTGCATCATAATTCCCTGCAGAATACTTTAACCAGATAACATCATTCTCATAAAAATTCTAACATCCATTCCTTAGGGATCTTATTTACGCACGTCCGATAGCTCGTATTTTACCGTACTTCGAAAAGGAAACTCTACATTTTTTTCGATACTTTGTACAAATATATTATATATATATATATATTACACTGTCTTTTTATGCGGTGTAACTGTGTAAGGTGTATGTTAGGTGTAACGTATGCAATACCTAACCTTAGCTATTTGATAAAAAAAAAACCAAGCAACTGCAGCATTAATATTTACTTTCAGTGGTTATTCTGAACGAGTTAACTACAAAGTATAAAAAGTGTACAGATATTATGTTGCAAATTTTTAAATTGCTCATACTGCTCATAGTGAAAAATATTACATAAAGATAAAATTAAAAATAATAATATGTTTAAAAATATTTTATTAGTACCTATTAAAAATAATGATTGTCATTGAAATTACCTATACACTATTAGCTATTAATTCTGTAAGGCTGTGAGTTTAATTCACTCAAAAACTGTTAAAAATGCAAAAATATGCGAAATTAATCTTCTTATAATATGTACTATATTTACATTAGTATACAGTATAAGTAAAACAAAATTGAACTGAAATTATTAATTCCTCTCCGACAAAATAACAAAAAGAAACACGCAAATGAATTAAATCATCAGCCCTGGGTTTTATTTATTATGTTATAATATTATGTGTACTTACTTTAAATTAAATTTTATTTTAAGTTATTACAGTTTGTATTTATATTATATTGTAGTTAATATTGTTATTATAGACGAATTCTAATACACATAGTTAAAAAAAAATAACATATCATATCTTATGAATAAAATAGTTTATAATACATATATATTATGTATTATACCATATTATATACATCACTAGGATACTAAGATATCGATTACAATTATTATTTAATTAGTTTATACATTATTAAAATAATAATCAGATTAGTTTTATAAAATTTTAGCTCATATTTACACGCATAAATATTAACAATTAAGATCAACTTAATTTTTAATACTCGATTAAGTTTTAGCCATGGGCATACGTGTCTACGGGGAGTGCCAGGTATGTAAACACACTACCTACATTTTACAATTGGAACCCTAAGATTGAAATCCAAGAGTAAGGAGCCCATTATAAAACTAATGTTATTAAAATAAAATGTAATTTTTTTCTAAAATATTTTACATTCACGTGAAAAAACTTATTATGATATAGCAGCTAAATGATATACAAAAATATAAATCAAAAATAGATATTACATTCAAGGAAAAATATTAAGAAATGAGCAGAAAAATAATGTAGACATCCATTGAAATACAAGTTTACGCACGCCTATGGTTTTAGCATGATTATGTAGTGACATATATCATAATATATAATATAATATAGTAATAATAATATATCCAACTTAAAAATTAAAATTAAATATATTTGTTTAGAAATAAAATGTACATATAATAATTAGATAGACTTATTAAATATAAATAAAAAAATTGCAGAAAGTTTAATTATATAACTAACTAAAAATAAATAAACTAATATAATGTGAATTGTTGTGCATTTAGAATTATACATTATACTGATTAACTGGATTATTATTATAATCACATATATAATAATGTTGAGTATTTATTGAGATATTTTCAAGGAAATAAATGTCATTTTATTTTATTATATTATTTATACGATCAACTTAATATTTTTTTTATTATATTATGAAGGTAGCTCATAAGGTATTATTGTACACATTGTAGAAGATGTAAATATGTAATACTATTATAATATACTATATAATATATTATTATTATGTATTGAGCAATTTTTATCTTATCATCATAATAATAAAATTTTATTATAATTTTCAAACCATGCATAAACTAAAATAAAACTGATTTGTTTTAAATTACACTAATTATTTAAGTAGTATTATATTATAACGATTAAAAAGTACATTGACCCATAATTCATATATATAGTGACTACAGAGAAGTTTGACTAGGTAATCTATGGATGATGTGAAGAGTATTATATTATATTATATTTAATTCAATAGTAGATTGGTCGTGGGGATAAAAGGCTTTTCTCTGTATGTAGATACGTCTGTCTGAACGAGTCTGCAATAAAAAAAAAAGAAAACATTGGGATGTAAAAAAAGTTTTAGCATAATGTTGTAGAGTATATATATATGTATATATAGGTAGGTACTTAATTTGTAAATTTATATTATAACCATCAAAAATTATATTGTGAACAAAATGTATAAACGGAATATTGTAAAAAAATATGTACAATTTTTAATTTAAAAAAAAAAAAAAAGTAAATCAAAACCTAAGTAGAATAAGACTTACCCATTAAAATGTGGTGAAAATGTGACCATGTCTTTGACGTGTACTTGTGCAGTCCTAGCTCTTGCCAGAATTGCCATTACTGTTCTCTTTGATGGATTCATTGATACTTTGGCACATTCTCCAGATAATAGGGGACGTTTCCTTCCTGGAGTTTCTGTTAATCCGTTTGAATTGTTCGGAGTCACATGTTTTTCTACATCCAGAAGATAAATGTATTCTGATTACTGATTTTTGACTATTAGTATAACTATTATTATTATTTTAAATAGAACAATAGGAACAAATATCAAGTTATTACTTTCGAAAAGATAAACCATTAAATATGTATATTTAGTTTTTTTTTTATTTCCATACTTTATTTTATTTTAAAATAAAAAAAATTTAGCATCATAAAATATACCATGTTAACATAAAACAATTAAGCTAAAAATTTTAAAATAATGAAGTTCATTAAAATTTATAATATTAAATGTATTTATTTTCAATGGTTTTTTTTATATTATTATAGTAGGCAGGTATACGTACATATAAGTTATAAGCTTATAACTATTAAAAATACTTGTTTTAAATTCAATGAGTTAAAATATCTGAATTAATATATACACTAAATATTACTATGAATTATGTACAATTTATTTCAGATTGTGAGATGCTCTTTCGGCTTTTGTTAAATCTCAGACGGCTTAAAACGGAAAACCACTTTTTGCTCTCAATGTTCAAAGACCTACTTATTAAGTTGGGTAAATAGCGAGCTCCAATAAATCTGTCTAAACACAGCGTGTTAAGCTATACAAATGCTATAATACACTGTATACACATATAGGTGACACAAGAAATACTATTTGTGTAAACTTTCGTCATTAACCAATCGATTTTAGACAAACTATTCAAATAGGTGGTACTACAGTAGTATAAACGAGTAGTATGCCGTAACAAACGTAATCATAGGACGAGAATGAGAGGGTGTTGAAAACGGAATCTTTGCACAACTACAGTAAAATGTAATGAACGCAGACAAGTTTAGGCTACGTTGTATCTACAATTAATACTACTTAATCGTTGTAACCATTAAGTATATAAAATGTATACCATTGTATATACCATAATTCATATAAAATTATATTAAACGCAAAACACCAGACGATTCATTATTGTGCGTCTATGTGCTTATATTATATTGTACCTGATACGTTAATTATCGTTTGATTAGTGTTGATATTGCTGTGTTTGCCGTGCACCGGCGAACATTCTCCGGTTGAATGAACGGCGCTGTAATTTTGGCGATTATCGTCCACGGAATGGGACGAAGATCCACTCTCGCCGGTTTCCGAATCAGTCGCGTCTCCCGATCCCTTCTGTAATATTTGCATTTCCCACATTTGCTCTTGTCGTATTTCATCGTTATAATCCTGTAATCCAATTAGTGGTGTGTTCAGCAATCAGCATTTACAAATTTAAATTTAATATTATACATTTGTAAACTATAAATTTTAGCGCAGACGGAAATAGGTATTAATTAACAATTCACGAATGAGTCATTTAAATCTTAAAACTCTCTCTCATCGCACCTTTCAATAATATAGTATACATATTATATATATACTTTAAATTTTAAATGATTTTGTTGAATATTCTCTAAACAAATAATGATGAATAAAATGTCTTTTTAAGTTGTTAACACAGTCGAGATGGTATATAACGGAAAGTCAATGGTAAAGTAAACGTAATTAAAAATGAAATGGTTTTTTAAACATCAAATGCTACGTTTATAAAATTATCCTATGGTCTGGATATTTTTTTTTCTCCCTCTTGTATTAAAGCGGTGCACTATCTTAAACAAGTCAACTGGAATATATTTTTGTAACTCAGTCCCATTCAATGAGGTTCACATAAAAAAATAGCGACGCTTGTCTAAAAGCTCAGTTACTTTTAATTCACACCACATTTTATTTAACTACGTAGTTATAAAAGAAATATACCTATTATATATTTTTGTTAAGCTTAATATAAATTACTTTTACGAATACCTAACTGACTTTACTGCGTTTACGTTAAATTCTTAAAATGTATAATTTACTATATTGTTTATACCTACGTAGTACCAGTAGGTACAATACTGTAAAATATACAATTATATGCATATTTAAGTATTAAAAATGAATTCAAACCTCCAAAGAATTAATTAAAGCACCAATGTGTTGATTTATATTGGTTTCCTTAAACAGCTTAAACATGCTTAGTATGACATAAACTTATTAATTATACTAAAATAAAGGTACTTATACCTATACGGCTATATTTATATAGTATATTGTACATAAACTGAATAAACTTATTTATTGAACATCTCAATTGATAAACCATCGTATTGTATAATAGCCTTATCTGAGTACTAAGTATGTATAATATATAGCATATATTTATGTGAACATATTATAAGTTTAGCTTAATATTATGAACAAATGACTTGATATTTTAATTTTATTTATAATGTATAATTAGTTATGGTTTTTTATTTAAGTTACTGGAAGGATAATAATAAATATTAATTTTTAAATTTTAATAACTCCGAATGAGTTATATTATGGAAATATATTTATTTGTTAATAGATTCTAATAATAATTAAAAAAAATTTCAATTTATAGTATTTAATTTACAAATTTTTGTGAATACTCGATTGATAACGTTATTCATAATTGAATTTATTATTTAGATTATATTTTTAATTTTAATTTGAAAATATTTTTTTTTAACTTACCGGTACTAAAAATCTTCGGACTTCTGTTAAAGCATATGCAATACGAGCGTGTGCTTCTGCTGGAGGAGCAAAAGCTGTTATTTCAACATGAAGATCATCTTTGAGATGAGAAAATTTAGGATCTCCTGAATTTCTTAACTTTTCTTCCTTAAAACAAAATATAGATAAATACAAACAATATTAATTAACAACTATTTAGAATTTATATTCAACTTAAAAAATTAAGTTACATACAATGTTAAGATAGAATTGTTATAGTACCTACATAGTACAATATCATTAAAATCATTAAATTATATACATTGAATAAAATATTTTATAAATTCAATTGATTAATTGAATTTATAAATACATATACCTACATTGTTTCGATGTGTATGGCTAAGTGGCTTATGTATAGGAACTCGTCAAATAACAAACTCATCCACTTACCTCATGATTTTATACACATTAAAACTAGAATTTCATTATTTGAATATATTTAATAGAAATTAGTAATTCAACTCTTCAACTACATATTTGTATAAATTAGAAATTTCAGATTTTTAAGTATCATATAAAAAACAAAATTTTACAATTGATTAATAAAAATATAGCTATATAGATGAATACAAATCATAGTGAAAACTCATTGTTAATGTAGGTACTTATATTTTAATATCTAGCATTGCGTGATATTTGCTAAAATGTGTTATTGATATCTACTCGATGTTAATTTTATTTTTATTAAAAAGTAAAAAAGAAATTATGCTTGTAATTTAAAATATGTATATCCTGAACGACATTTTTGTGAATAAAATCAACTATGATCATGATAAAGGATTAGACACTATTTTATAATTTTTATAAGTTATACATTAGCGTTGAATTCTACTGATAATCTATAAATAAAATATAACTTTTAGTAAAAATTAAATGGTTATAAATGATAATCATAATGATATTTAAGAAATAATGTTAAGAATTTTAACTTATGATAGAAATAGTGAAGAAATCTATATACTACATAATAATACATAGAACTATTATATTATACAAGACTCTATAGTAAGTTATAAGTCCTACATAAAAAGCCTTCTATTTCCGTACATGAATAAACTTTCATGTATCTACCATTACTTTTTTGTAGTTATATTGTTCGTGGTATTTAAACTTATAATAAAGTCTCTATTACACTTAAATCTTTATAGTTATATCACTCTTCTTCTTTAATTCAGTTTTTATAGTGTAATACTGGAAGAGCAGTATCATATCATTCTATTACTAAAATACTAACATATTTCAACATCCAATATATTATTAATTATCTACCTAAAATATTTTTATACCTGACACTAAACAGTAAAATATAAATAAACATTAAAGATACTCTAATACTGATATATTATTAAACATTTAAAATAATTTAATGTTTATACTTAATTTACCATTTTACCCTGACTGTACGAATATAGGTACAGTCATGATTGGTGAAGATAGATATATTTTATTATATGCATATACCTATCGGTTATCTATATAATGTATTAATGTGTATACTATAATTTAATTGATCGTATAAACATATATAAATATATTATTTTAATATTCAGTATTTGTGTAATCAACCCATACTCAGGATTGAGTGGGAAAGCGTGCAGGGTTAGGGGCGCAATTATGCCATACCCAAGGGGCGAACATTTTACGATTAATTTTGATACTAAAATATTATTACTAACAGCACTATAACAATATTTACAATTTATTTTAATTTATTCGTCACTTTGAAATCAAGTAATTGATATGATTAGGTGGGTAGGTACTCGTTTTTATTCGAATTGTCTCTCATTACTGTATCAAAACGTATAATTAGCCAAATCGTATTTAAATATGACTATTATGAACTGAATTGAGTTTATACACTTTTCCATAATATATGGAACTGTGTTTAAAAAAATCTTGATTATTTTAATGATATTTTGTATTTTATGACAAATTCAAGTTTTTAGAATATTTTTCATTATTTGTTTTGAGGTGAACGTAAAAATTGTAGATAGTAAAAATGTAAAGTTATTGATAAACCCCAGCCTAAAGATAAGTGTAGGTACAAAGTTATTAGACAAGTAGTGTGTAGAACGTGTAATATTCGTTGATCTCCGGTTTCATATCTATAAATGATTGAAGATTCAATAATAATACTTCTATGTTAGTGTGATTAAATTTTAAAGTTTATCCAGGAAAAACTTCACTATTTTTGAACACATTTCCTTTTTATATTTTTTTAAATAGTAAAAAATAAATTTTTATAGTAAATATATTTCAAGATTTTTAAAGCGTTTTTGCATTTTTTAAAGCATTAAGATTCTAGTTCTATTAATTTTAAATTAACTTATTAGTTCTTGTTGATAAAAAAAATTTATAGCTGTTAAAAATAAAAATTATTTTAATTGGTACCATAAATTATAATAAATATTGTAATACATGTGAAATTGAAATTTTAAAACCTAATTTTACTTGTAATCATTTTACCGGGTAACTGATAATATATTGTATTATACTTTAAACAAATACACCTATGTATAGATATCGTACATTTCTTTATAAGTAAGATAAGTGAATCACTTGAGAAGGGCTTTGTATTTGAAACTTTGAAAACAATGATAAATCAATGCATTCAAAATACATTTTTGTTCAATGTTTTGTATTTGCCTAAAATTGATCAAGATTTTTTAAGAGTTTTTGAAAAATTTAAAAAAATGATTTCTCGGCTCTTGCAACAACAATCTATTATGTTTAACTTTAAACATTTTTAAGCAAATATGATATTAAAAAAAAGTATATGTGTAAGTATGAAAATATGAAAATTAATTAAACTTCTATTAGAATTTTTTCATACGATTGCCGTGTTAATAAAATATTTTCTTTTAATCATATGCATATGATTTGTATACTAAATATACATATCGTATGTATTTTAAAATAATTTTAGTTGTCTTTCTTTATTTGTGTTTTATTTTTTTATAAAATATCCTAAGGGGTAATTAGCAATTAGCAAATTAGCCAGCTAGCTACCCAAAGGGCCACTTGCACAGTACAGCATTCACTCTAAATACTATTTTCTGTAAAATTATTATTTATAACTTATAAAACGTAAATTACTTATTAGGTAATAATATGCATCAAATAATTATAATGATTAGGTAATAAAATATAAATTACTGAAATTTAAAAAAAAAAATCAAATCTAAGTATCTAATATTCTGATATATCATACATAATAGCTTACATTTTAAATACTGTTTATTAGTTATATATAAAATATAATAATAATATAAATGAATAAATCATTAAAAATATGCGCTGGAATTTTTACATCAACTCCATAAGTTTAGATTTACAATAAATCTACCTATTATGAAATTAAAATTTTAAATGAAACATTATTAATAATGTCCACTGTTTGTCAATACCAGACGTGTAAACACTTATTAAAATTTTTAATAAATAACATTAGTCTGATGTAAATCGTATAAATGCCGTTACGAGTTTTGATTAAAATTTAAAACACATACACTGAACCTAATACCTAAACATCTATATAAAATAGTGATATATATTTATTTATAAAGTATATATTTAACAACGCATACAAAGCAATAATATTTTATAAATAAAATGTTGTTAAAGAAAGGATCGAGATTGTTTATTTTGATATTATTCATTTATACTATACAGACTACAGTATACAAAATGTGATTTTATGTACGCCCCAGAGGAATTACTATAGTTTTCTGTATAGTTCTATTATAAGTATACTTTTACAGCATATTGGTTATTATAATAATCGAACAGTATCGTAGAGGGGATGAAGTTCGTTGATAAAAAAAAAAAAAAAAACGAAAAAAAAATAGCGCAAACGTGCAATAGTGTTGTGATAAATACGCATACGAATATAGAATTATTATGTTGTGTTGTAGATAATGTTTATGTATAAATGTTATGTATACGAGTACGTGTAGTAATTCATACGTGAAAATCGGATTTACTACGTGCATGTGGATATCAACTATGTATATCGTTCAACTATAAAAAAAAACCCCCATACTTGGAAAAATAGCTTTTAGTTTTGGGTTAAATATTGTCGCCGAAAATTGTGCACTTATACAGTTATTTTCAATTCAATCATAAGACATTCGACCTTATATATATATATATATACAACACAACTAAACAAGACTCCGATAAATTAAAACGTGTGTTAGTAAAACGTTTTGTTCTGTCGTTGACACACTTATATTCGTATACACAATAGTTAATATAATTTTCCATCTTATTCCCTTAGGTAATCAAGTGTATTCGTTTTCCTCAACTGGAGTGTACACATAATCAGTGTAAAATATACTATATATTTATTTAATCTATGTATGTGTTTGACACACCCGATTTTACACATATTATAAATTTGATGGTAGCTGAATTCTTGTGGTTTAGCATAGAGTATACATATAAATTATACATAATAATAATCACTGTGTAATCACAAAGCGAGACCGCGATAATAATAATTGTTTACTCGAACAAATATCTAGTGATATTAAGGTTTTAAGAATAATAATGAAATTACCTTGTTTCGATCACGCATAGATCCACGACCAAGTATTGCCATTTTCGTTATGGTATCTTCCTGCAATCTTTTCAAAGAGTTACCTTTTGGTCCTAATAGTTTTCCCACGAAATTAAACTAGAAACATACGAAATATTTAATATGTAAAATACGTCTTAACTATTGTTAGTATACATTTTAATATATAATTACCTACATTAAAAACTTGTTTTTTCATCAATCATATTTAATAATATAAAAACTAATTTACAAAAAATACAAAATGTAAAGTAAGTACGCAAAAAAATAGTTTTAATGTATAAATAATAATGTATGTATACTTTAAATTATTAGAATCGATAATAATATATCATATTATTTCATTTTGTGGTGGTTGTTTGTTATCAAAATTATTATTATAAGCAACATATAAATGAATGCATAATATTATAACTTTAATAAGCAAATAACTTGAAATATCAAATTTAAAATAATTTAAAATTTGTATGAAAACAAAAATTTAAACATGTATAGTATACATGATTTAAATATATACGATATTTGTTTAAAAACAAAAATTATTTCGTTTTGTATAACTATTGTATAACTATTTTCATAACTTAAAACGATATATTTCTCATTGTATTTATTTATTTTTTTACTTATAAATTGTTTGTTTCAGTTTATAGATTATCCCCCTTTCCAAAATAATCAATCATATTTCATATGGTAGTTTTTACCGGAACTGCAAAATATAATAGAGATTAAAAAGAAATACTGAGAATCGCAAAACAATCAGGAATTAGGGCACTTTCAAGAAAAATGAGCCAAAGAAACGAGTGCTTATAAGAGCGTAAATACTTTATAGCTTTTAAATACCATACATAGTTGTAGTCTATAGTTGAACTACTCAATAATAACTAAAACAAAAGCCATTGAATAATTTACAAAAATATATAATAGTTTATAAATAATAAAAACATACTTTAATTTTATATAGGTACAAAATTTTCTTAAATAGTAACTTGACATTTTTGAATTGTTTTAATTTATTATTATTATCATTGAGATCCGTGCAAAAATTGCATATTAAAAAATTGAATAAAATACGTAATAAAATTAAATAGGTAGCTATATAAAAATTAAAACGTATCAAAATAGGTAGGTACTATAATAAACTAATATATGCAAAATACGCGATCTAAATATTTCTTATTCGAATTCTAAAAAGTATAATATTGTACATTTTAAAATATACTTTTGACTTTCTGGTTTCTTTGTTTATATTTTAGTCAAATTAATACTTAATAGATTGAGTTAACTTCCATTGTCTTTTTTATAGTATGAAATATTAATAATTTAATAACAGTATATTATATAATTTTATAAGTTTTAATAATAATTTATGAATATTTTTAATTTTATTCTTAATTCAAAATAAAATAAAAGTTGAGAAATTTGTTTCTGCTGTATAATACGATTTAAATATAAATCGTAATAAGGAAAAGTCACTTTAAAGGATCAATCAAATTTGAATTTAATAATAAATAAGACGACATTTTTAATTCAATAATTTAAAATTTTTCCAAAAAACTTGCATCATAATAAATAACACAGAAACTTTGCTGATGAACCGCAATATGATGAAAATAGATTCATGGTATAAATAACTTAATAAAAATTAATCTAAATGTTTTGGAAATGGAATAAGTTATGATGGAATGTTTGAAGTCCCAACAAACAATGTAATAACGTACGAGTAAAAATAGTCTTATCTAATTTTGTTAAAATTTGTTTTAAATATTTACAAAAAAATAACGAGATAACTTTAACATTTTTATGTAAAAATAATTTAAATTCATATATCAAAATTTTTGACTGAAAAAAAAAAATGTATAAAGGTAAAATATTTAGAAAAAAAGAGTCAAAATATTTTAAATTTACCTTATAATATGCTATATGTCTAGAAATTAATCGAATAAATAAATGACGAATATATATATTATATACATATATAGTGTCAATTATTGATAGTTACTTATTGGTTTTTGAATTGTAACGAAATAAAAAAAATCAATTTTGTCAAAAACTGCAGGTGCTGCATTGTTTTCCCGCAATTTTCCAATTAAATATCCATGGAAAATTTTCTACTTTTGATCCTTAAACTTCAATATATTAGTTAAATCAAATGTGGTATTACAGAAATTTTCATTGTTTATAAAATTAAAGCAAAAGGTTTGCTTCAAACCATGAATACTGATAAAAAAAATAAAAATAGTAATTTATCACTAATTCATTACTAGCTCCGCTCAGTTATTTCGGCTCTATTACTCTTAATTTTGAAATTCTAAATTAAAGATTTCTTAAGTTTTTAAGTCTGTATTCAAATTAACACACAGTGCACCTATATATATATACGTACCTATATACATTATTAAATTATAATATACAGATACTATTGTGTTAATTCATATTATATATTAATGAATGAAAAATTGTAACTGATACAAAAACAAGTCATAAAATATAGTACATATTATGTATATATTTTTTACTTAAAATATTAATTAACTACCTGTATATCATTTTTGTACGAAGTTATACATTTATACTTACCTTTGGCATTAATATTTGCCTTGTAAGACTTTAGACTACCTTACATAACGAGCATACGTGTTATAATTAGAGAAGTATCTTTATGAATATAAAATTTAGGGTGGGGAGGAGACTAATGTAATGGCGTACCCGGCCGCACACGATGATTATCTTATACAATATTCTGTTTACGCACTACATATTATAATATTATATACTTTGCTGATATGCAAAGTACTATACTGATATAGTGATATGTGTTCAATGTTCATGTAAAAACATACTCCTATAATTGATTAAGTTATCTACTGACTCGGCTGTGTATAATCTGCAATTATTTTGAAAAATAATTTTTTATTTTAAATAACCTTCTATTGTAGTATTTGTTAAATACGCAATTTATTAATTCATCATAACATATTAATCGGAATAATTTAAAGTAAATATTGTAAAATTTTAGATAGTATTTAGATATATTTTATTATAACTAGGTAATTACGTATATTTTTAATTTTAAAATAATTATTTGTTACAAATAAAACATATAATTTTCAATGTTTTTCATTTAAAAATATACGCGTTTTTGATGGAAAATTCGAATATCGATTAAATGAGGGATCGTAATTTTTAACAACATTGATAAAATCATGTAATGCCCTTTCGCTTCTGGGATTTATATTAATATTAATATAATCTTTATATTCTAATGGATATTAATTCCATCTAATTCATATTAATAGAATAATAAATATATATTTTACATTTAACAATATTTTAAATTTATAAGATAGTATATTATTCCTAATCATGAGCTATCTATTTACTATGATATTATCTTTGAATTTAAACAAATTTTAGACAAATGTTAAATATTACCTACATAATATATTTAAAAACAGTATGCATATAATTATTTAATAGTTTGGTTACAATTTATCGACTATTGTGTACTTAGTTTGTCTACTGTTTTTGTTTAAAAGATTTAATGTATATTGTTACTTTTTATTAATATTTAAAAATTGTCATCAATATTGATACGTCATATTATTATGTAGTTCATGGTTCCAAGTTATTAATTATAACTATATATAATAATTAATAAGTATTTCCTTCATCTAATTGTAAATGATGTATCCCAAGTGCATACCTTTGGATGATCTCTTACAGGTACGGCTACCCTGATGGAAACTTTAATTGGTTTGTCACGAGTTATATCCACCATTCGACGAACACCCTCCGATTTTCCTCCATTTCTAGCTTCTAAAATTATAAAAATATTTTTCTTTAATAGGTATCTGTTGTTATTAAACTAAGATAGAATTATAGATTTATTAAATATTTTTGTACGACTGCAAATGCATAACAATTTAGATTCTGAACAAATAAGGGAGTTCTTAGAATCTCATAGAGATTAATATATTAATTTTTATATTTTTCTTTGTAGTAGTAAAATGAATTGATAACTTTGCCAATTGTTTGATCCTTTAATAAATATAAAACAAAGATATGAAAATTAAATGAAATAATTTTAAGACTTTTTTTTTTTATTATTATTATTATTAAAAGTAAGCAATAGATACGCATTTGAAGAATTTGATGTGAAAAAACAGTGAAATTTACAGTCCTTTTATTTAAAACTGAAATATGAAATAAACTTTGGATTAACCGAAATTTTATCGTAATTGTTTTTCAAATTCTATGACTTATCGTTGTTTCTTTCCAATTTCAAAATAAATAGTACAATATGCTGGCTTACATCGAGGCGAGCAAAACAGAATTTATTATAAGTAACGACTTACGAGTGCCCAACATGCTCAGTTACTTTATTTTATCCTCATTTACTTTTCAACTGTAAATTTTATTAATTTAACGTTTATACACCTAAATAATGATGAGTTAACATTTAAAAGTTTTAAATTAAATTTGTCACTTGTAGGTGCGATCTGTTTTTATCGTTCAACACCGTGTTGGCAAATATACAAAACGTAATACTGTGCCAGGTACAGAATGTTAGTTTACGACTATCGTAAATTTGACTTTAGCACGCAAACCTGATACTACAATAACTACTTAATGCAAGAAAAATGAGTCAAAATCGTTATTTTTACTCAATTTATACGATATCTAAGACACGATAATAATTGAATATGATTACCTATCGATGTAATTGTTATGCCATGTTTATATTTATGTTATTCATTTTTTATGTTTTATCTTTTATAATAGGTAATTAAATAACTGTTCACTACATACCACGTAATCATATATTTATATATATATATTTATTTTGTCATCATAAACAAATCATTAAAATATTTTTTTGTTTATAGATACAAAGATTAACGAATAAATATAATTGTTTAAGTCAATAATCAAATAAATCGTATGGTTTGAAAATTCATAAAATTACCTGAATGAGAATTTAATTTATGATTTTCACTTTTATTGCCGTGGAATTGATTTTCGTCGTCAACTTCTACAATATCCATATCTGACATGATAGCGATAAATCATCCGTTTGAAATTTTATTTTACGTTAATCTTTTTGTAAATTAATTACAATAATTGTTAAACCTGAAATATTGAAAGCTTCAAGTTTATTTTTATAAAAAAAATAATGTTTTATTACATATCCTTATACTTTGTTAGTATAAGACATGAGTGAATGAGTATTTTTTTTTTTGAAACAATTATAAATTATAATAATACATATTAAATTTATATGATGTATCCATTGCCTACAAAATGGTTTTATAATAGCACATATACCTTTAAACATACTTTTAAAAGCTTTATAAATACTAACTAACAAGAAAACTGCTTGTAGTTTCATAGTTGATTCGCCTTACTATGTAATACTTTAATAAATAAAAATATAATAAAAATGCATCAATGACAATTCCTTCATAGATGTGATGGATAAAATGATAGATATAAGCTATATTGCGTTTTAAATAATAATTATATCGATTATATTTACTCATAACAATATAATATATACTCTAAACCGTGAAGACTAGTACATAGCTTTGCTAACTATTAATACTTACTACACGAAATTCTTAAAAATATATTAGGTATATATATAATTCATAAGTTTGTATAAAATATTTTAAGATCTAACTGATTTTAGATACCTAGGTCTAAGTGATTAATGATCGTAATAAACATATGAAAATGGAATTATTATGACGACGATATCATTAAATATAATAATATTTAAAATAGAATACCTATTGTTATTTATTACAGTCTGTAAAAAACTAATTTTTATATAGGGAAATTAATTAACAATTTAAAAATATAAAAATATGATTTATCAATTTTTATTTTATAATAATTTGAAGTTTTTAAAATTAAATACTATGCTTATGTATTACAGTGGCGTATTTACGGGGGGGGGGGATCAAGTGGATAAATCCCCCTCATAGGCTGTATACACACAAATAATTATAGCCATCAAATTATTTAAAAAATTATTATTATTTTTTTTTTTTTTTTTTTATCAATAATTAATTTGTAAAAATTGAAATATTATAATATATTGTACAATATTCTTATTGATATCTTCATTTATAAAATCATATCCTCCCCCCATGAAAAAACCTAAATACGCCACTGATATATTATAATAATATTATTATTGTATAGACAAATTGAAAAATCATATTATCTAATCAGCATCATATAAATACTATAAGAGTTTAAAAAAATAAAAAAATATGGTGTACTAATTTTATCATATTATCTACTTTACTTAGTAAAATAATAAAATTATAAATTATTTATTTTATTTCATAGTTTATGAGTTATAGTTATAAAAAAAATATTCAATATTTTAAGTATTTGATATTTTTTCGTATGTTTATCAAAAATTAGAACGGGTAAAATTCAATAACATATTTGTGATAACTATATAATATATATAAATTACTATAATACGAAGATATTTTTTACATAATTTTTACTGACTTACCAAATAAATATATAATATCCTCGGGAGTATGTTTCAAGTGATATAATTCTGTTGAAAAGTTAAACCTATACTAAACTTTATGAAAGGGTTGCTTTACGTATACCCTCGTCGTTATGACGATATCAACGCTATCTAGTGACATAATACAATGTATACAATTTAAATTATTTTATTAGCTACATCATATCGTAATAAAATGTATAAATGTAATTTAATCACTGAAACAATTAGGACACAAAGGATTAGATAAAGCACTTCACAACTTTCAGTGACACAGCTTATGAACATTCTATAAAATAATGTTAAATCCTAGGGCATTATAAAATATACTAATTTAAATTAAATATAGTTGAATTTGTAAAGTCGACACTTTTTAACAAACCTAATATGGTTATTTTAAACAAAAAATTAAGCTCAGCTAAAGTTTAATATTTAAAACACAAAAATAAATTACATGAGTTTAAATATGTATGTTTAAAACTATAAGATAATTCAATAAATTTTATACAACAAATTAACAAATAATGTTTAATCAATAGTTGTAATTTATCTATGTCTAAAAAAGAAATTATTTTATTTACATTAAATACTAATAATTACAAAATATAAAATAAAATTTTATGTTTAGTGTTCAATTTATCACATGTAAGATGACTAAATGGATAGGTAAAATAATAAACAATAAATACAGATAGTAGGTACTGCAAAAATACAGGAAATAGATGTAGCTAAATAATCAACGCGAAATATCATTAATTATATATTTATACATATTATGATAAATCGTTGTAGATATTTAAAAATTTGTTTTAAGCCTTTAAAATTAACCATGCTTTAATACCTACTTGATTTTATTTTTAATGATTATAAAAAATATTCAAATAAAAATAAATTATATCACGAAAACGTCAAACAATAATTTTCTAAATTTAATTCGAAATCAAAATACTATACAACTTTACCTCGTATTAAATCAATAAACTCAAAAACTGATTTATGAAACTAAAAGGTATTTCAAGCATTAAATATCTTAAATGTATTTAAGTTTTTACAAATTTCTAAAAATTTTAATGGTGTAGTTTTAAATTCTTTTCAAAAAAGATAAAATGATTTATAGTAAACTTTGTTTGAATAGGTAACTTTGTAAACTTTATAAAGTTTTAGAATTATAATTTTATATTTAGTATACAAATTAACAGAAAAGCCAATGAATTGTAAGTTTACAATAGTTTTTAATATATATTTATATTTAGAGTAAAAATAAATTTGTATTATAAAGATTGTGGAACTAACAAATAATTTTATAAAGTTTCTACCATTTCAATTAAAATTTCAAGTTAATTTATACAAAAAATATTTTAATTTTAAGTACCGTATATTCTTAGGCCGTTACACTGTTTTTCATAACTATCCATTTGGTTATTTCTGAATAGTTCCCCCCCCCCCAAAAAAAAAAAACGGATTTTTTAATTCTATATAAAATGGTTATTTACAGTTAATGTTTTGTTTTATAATTTTATATCTTTCAACACTGTTTCAAAGAAAAAATATGTAACTCAAAAATTTGTATTGGTGTATTATTTATGAATCGAGTCTTATTGAATTTTCAAAAGTAATTTTTCAATTTTCGCAGTATAATTATTTTTCTTAGCGTAATGAATAACTATAATTGATAATTATGGTAAAAAATGTTTACAAAACGTTAGCAAGCACAGTTGAAATCGAGCTCGGCATAGAATTGGTTTTTCTATAATACGATAATTTATCATTGCTTTTAAATTTAATATCTCCAACACGTCTCTATCCTGCTCTGAGGTGAGCATAGCGTGACGAATGCTTAGCACCAGGTCTTTGTATCTTGTATCCGTCCGGCTTTTTTAAAATATCATTTATTATATCTGATTTCTTAGACTTCAAAAAATACTGCATTACTTCAGGAAACGCATTCTTTATATCGATATTGACAAACATCACCTATTATATTGAATTGATAAATTATTAATATATAGCAAATATTATTGTAGAGCTAATAGCTTACTAGCTCCATTTATAACAAACAAGACCCGATGTACCAATTATTTTCACAAATTTTAGTTATTTATACAATAGTTAAAGCACTAGGTACATTAAAATATTGTTTGAAATTTATGTATAAATTAAAAATCATTAATAAATATAATGTATTATATATATGTATAACTATTATACGCGTATAAATTATGTTAATAGGAAATTAATTAAAATAATTTAGGTATCTATTTTTAATTATAAAATAGTTTGTATAAACTGTAATAAGTATCAATTTCTTACTGCATATAATTATCATTAAAGTTTTTAAATTTCAAATAATATTTTTTAAAGTATCAAAAAAACTTAGAATGAAAAAAAAAATGTCAAATACCTCCATTTTTATTTCTATCATTTGGTATGAGTTTAGTTATACTTGATGTTAAATTTAAAACCGTCTTAGTATAAAATCATTTAAAGTTTGCTAGTATATTTTATTTTTATTGAAGCTATGTTTAAAAACCATTAAATAAAAGCCAACATAACACTAGAAGCAAACGAGTTGTGAATTGTTTTTATATGTTCTCTTTTTTTTATTGTACCTATTGTTCTTCCTCTGTGTCTTAAAAAATAAGTCACAAGAGCTATGTCATCAAATACGTTTATATTCTTTATGCTTTTTTTTGTGTCTCTGGGCATTTTTAAGAATAACTTCACTGTTTAAAAAGAAACTCATTAAAAACATTTAAAAAATAATATTGTTTGTTCACATACGTTTAGAAATAAAATGTGGCAATGTAAAATAAAATTGCAGAGTAAAATGTATAATTTATTTAGAGGATAAAAATATAAATAAGATCAGCATTGATTAATTTATTTAGAAATATAAAATAATAATAAATTCTTTATAAAGAGATTTGCTTTCACTCAGTGCACACAGAGAAGTTAACTCATTTAACATTTTAATTTTTTTTTTTCTAATGAAATGTATAATTATTGATTTCATGAGGTCGATATTATTTTTAGGACACTGGAAATTCTTTTAATAAAAAATGGGGTTTATTCTTGCATGTATTTTGCATAATGATTTTTTATTGTTCGTATTATATACAGTATACACATATAACATTCATCTTTGAACTTTCACAACTTCACCCTTTGTTTACATATCATCTTTAAACTCGTAATTATAAATATACAAATATTACATTCAAAAAAGGGTATTTTTATAATTCTACATAATAATAAAATCTTTTATTCTTAAAATAATTGACAAAAGGATCAATTGTTTTAATTATTAATTTTCCTTTTCAAATAAAACAAAAAATTTAATTATGTTTTTATACAAAGTTTATATTACTTTTACATTACCTGGGTATTTTACATTGCCTCTTAAAGTAGTAATTATTATAATTTCTTTAATCGCTCTTGTCATAGAAAATTGATGAGTATTATATTAGTATCAATAGTACCTATTTATGAACTACTACAAGTACAATATTAATATTAGTATTAGGTATTACACATAAATGCAAACACAAAATACGAAATTAAGCATATTCTGCAATTTAATTTTAATTTTTAATTTAAAAAAATGTAAAATAAATGTATTATACTTATTATTTATTAATATTTAATATTACATATTGCTATCACTCTATATTAATAATAATGCAATATTAGAAAGTGGTTTATGATTATTATTATTTATTAAATTATAAATTTATTTATAAAATCTATTTTTATAAAGTTCAATTTTTGAATTTTTAAAAATATCATAAATAAAATTCTTAAAATATTAAATTTGCAAATTATTTTTTTTTTTTTTGTTTAAGCTTTAAAATTTTTAAAGTTAAATTATATATACTTAGTTACAGTTTCAAACTTTTATAGATAAAATTATTTTATTCTCGAAGAAAATACTCAATAATGGGACTTAAGTATTTGACAGAGGGACGGAAGAGAGGTGGCCGTTCTATTTTCATATAATTTATTATAATATGTCAACTTCCTAACTTCAAAAAAGCGAAAAAAAAGTTTAAAGTTAGTTATGTCATGGTCGACTTTTATTTATGCATAATTTAAAAATTTAAATAATAGCAATTTTTATAATTTAACTCTAACATAATCTAATCAAACCCTGATATAAAGAATCAACATCTCTTAGATCCATAAATTAATCATTAATTAGTTGTCAGTAATGTAGGTATATAACTACCGTTAAGCTATGAATTCAAAATATCTTACACGTATGATTATAATAATACATATAATACGTATTTAATAGTTGTACACTCCTCATTACAGAGAGAGGATCTGCCTAAAAGGTAAAAAGTAAAGGTATATTATATGCCTGTCATTATTATATTCAACCTGACCGTCCAAACCTAATAACTAATTTTTTTAATATAAATTATACCACCAACCATGTTCGGTGTCTTTTGCTTGTTTTGTGACCAGTCTCTAAAGTATCAGTAAAACTTACTAAAACTCAACTGTTGAATCCCCTAATTATTGATATAAGCCTATGAAAGATGGAGATGAGCTCTAATAAAACGTATAATTAGTTAATACCTAATTTTATATTTTTTATCATATAATTTATGATATCTATCGAAGGGCCTTTAGAAATCGTCTAACTTTTTCTATAGGTACCCAATTATTTCAATAGTTGATAACTATATTTTGAGAATACATAATATTTTACTCTTATGGGGTTCAAATTCATTTAAGTCATCCATTTTCCGGTCAGATTATACTATAAATATATAAAATTAAATTATGATGGAATACAATTATACAAATTACAAATCATTATAAAGTATAACGTATTGTTTGTAGTATGTCACTAAAACAATACCTAACTAATAAAATATTATTATAAAAATTTTGGTGCTTAAAATAACTTGTGTTCCATTGTAACTTTTCAATAAACAGTAAATGTCTAGTGTGATTTGTATCAAGTAATCTTGATGTCAGTTATCCACTTTATTACATATTAGATTTGGATCCCCGAACTCCCTGCACGTGATAAACAATGATAATGGGTGGGTA